TTGTTTCGTTTTTAAGATTTTTCACTGTAATCGTATTTTATTAAACTTGTAATTTTTCATTTCTACATAATGCAGTTTATAAGTTTTTCATATAATAATTATTAATTATTATTTTTCTTTTAATAACTTAATATTTTCTTTGGTATTTTTTCTTTTTTTTTATAACTTTTATATAAATGTAAAATCACGCGTTTAAATTCAATTTTATTACAACAATTAATAGAGATTTTTTCAAAATAAATAGAGAGTTCAATTGAAAAGTGCATCTGCGAATCGGACGATTTATTTGTCAGGCTATTTTATTACTTGATTCTATGACTAATATAATTTTTTTCTTGTTACAGGTGATCATCGTTGGATTTAACAACAAACCTTGCAGATTTATTTCCATTTGAACGTCTTAAATGACTACTTTTTTAAATATATGTATTAATGCATTTCTGAAGGCACACACATGTTTATACATTCAAAATTAAATATATTTATCTAAAATTCTATTACAACATAACTATACTATTATATTCTATCAAAGAATTCTGTATTCATGGGAATATAATTTAATTAACATTAAAGTTTCTATGAAAATCTGAAAGTCTATGATATGTATCGATCGTACACGTTAGAAGGGGTTGGGGGCAGTAGCTAAGCTATTTACACGGTGATAAATTGCAACAATTTTTCTTGTTTTTTTTTCATCTTCTTTTTCAGCTAGTCAATCATTTTCAATGAGCAAATTGCCAATTGAGAGTCCGGTGCCTTACCGAATGGCTTTGAATTATCCGGTGTTACATATTCGTTCACTCGGTACGTTAGCATTGTTTTATATGCATACACGTCTATAGCAAGTTGCTGAAATACCAAAATTATTTTTTAAATTATTTTATCTTATACAAGAGAGAGGGAGAGAGAGAGAGAGAGAGAAAACAATTTAAAAAATGTTTGCAGCCTTTCTTCCAAGTGTACAAATATAATTTTCGAAATGAAACATATAGTAAAATTTATAGTGAAAAAAATAGTAACATAAAAAACCGCGAAATTTCAAATTGTAATAATAGATTTGGATACTGTCGAAAAGTCAGAAATTCTGCAATAATTTAGTTATTGATCAAGTATAATAGAATTTTACCTGCGTTAAGGGGCTCGTATTTGTCGTGAAGATACCAGCGTATTCCTTTTTCCTGGCAATTCTTAAACAATATTCTTCCATTTCTCCCATGATAATAACATTTTCACCAGGTGCTAAATCGGCATGAGTTGCCATCATAAAATTATGTATTATTTGTCCTCTGCCTTTAGGCAATTTTTTCTCCCTAATTGGTTTTTCCAAATATTCCAAAAATTCGAATATTATCGACAATTTCGAATCAATTTCTACTTCTGGTTCATCCCACAAATCAAAATTCAAACCAACGGCGATCACTTGATTGTTTTGCAATGATTTCACGACGAAACTTAAATCTTTTTCAACCAACGGTCCCCACAACTTGTCCATTAACAATCGATAATCTTCTCTTTTAATGTCATCTATCAACCATTGTTCTAAATCAGCCTTCGAATAAAAACTTTCTGTGATAATCCTGTAATATTATGAAACGTTACATCACGATTTGATCGTTTAAAAAATAATAAGAAAATGCTGTTACAGGTTTACGTAATAATATATGCGAAATATTTCATTCCCGTGTTCGTTTAATTACACTTTTAATTATACCGATTAGTATATACTATAAAATAAATTGTATAATTATTACAACACACACTTGGGAACGTTAGATAATTTTTTCATCAAAATATTCCGCATATATATATATATATATATAAAAAATTAAAATAACTTCAAAAATATTCACTTTATCGTATCTTCTTTGTGAGAATCGTTCAACATTTCGTAATATCGTTGTTCCTCGTCAATGTTCTCTTTCAAATTGTCATCTTTAACGTTACGTTTCATCAGTCTTAATACATCACCCATTGTTTTAGCCGTAATAAATTCCGTAATACCTATGCAATAACCTTGATCCCTTAATTTCGTAACGGTGTATATAGAATTCAATGAATTACCACCTAATTCGTAAAAGTTTCCTTTTAAATTAACGGTACCACGATTGCTACCACCAATCACAGTTGCAATTGTGGGAAACAATACTTTAGCTTTGGGAAGATCCTCTTCCGATACACCTGTATAATCGCAATTAGCGATTTCGTTGTTTCCTACGGAGACAAACACATTGTTTGATAAAAGATCGAAAACAATAATCATCGTTATGTGTTATACTCGAATTAAAAAAGAAAAAAACACAAACACACGCGCACGTGCGACGCCTAATAATCATCGTTGGCTTGTTAAAAAGTCATTTACCAGCAATTCTGGAAAATCTTTATCATCAAACCATCAAAGATCAAACGATTATTATTATCAAGCACAATGTTACGTGTAAATCAAGAATTTTCTTGAAATTCTTATGAAATCGCGTATCTAGATTTATATATATATATTTATAGATATGTAGATATACAGATAAATGTATACGATTAAAGGAAAAAATTAGAAAAAAAAAAAAAATAAGGATAAAAATACGTTAATTACCATTAATGAGCATAGATGATTCATATTGCTTTAGCAGCGTCTGTCGATCGGTTTTACCGTTCGTTAAAAGCGGTATGTGATTAACGATTATAACTTGTGGTTGCATATAAAGTGGCATTCTCTTTTGCAATGCAATTTCGATCTCCCTACTAGAAATCTTCGTATCATTCTTTACCGTTATAAACGCCAACAATTCCTGTTTAAAAAGATACATTATTATTATTATTATTATTATTATCATAGATTAGATTTTATTGATTTTTTTTTTTTTTTTTTTTTTTTTTTTTTTTTTTTTTTTTT